GAACTGCTTACTTAAGGTCTCCATAGGCTTGTATTGCTTGTGAAAAAAGAAGATGCAGACGACTTGCAACCATGCTGTGAACCCCATGACTCGTGACACTTTAACAATCAGGCCACACGCCCACAACGGCCTGCTCTCATTGTATTTTTCTTCGTCATCTGGCATCATCAGCTTGCAAGACAAGCTGGACACTGCTGCCAGCTGTCCTCTGGTCCCACTTGTTCCTCAAGTAAATAAAGTCCAGGTCCACTTGCCATTGACTTTGATTGAGAGGTTGATGCTTCCGGGCAAAAGGTGGTGAGCGTTCCAGGCAGCTCTTCTTCAGTGTCAACAAACATCAAGGCTCGATTCGATTTTCTCCAAGTTCACCAGAATTCCACCCTGGAACCTTGGAATCCTGGGCACTGTTGCTGGATGAAGGCTTGGCAGGGTGAACTGGTTGGCACAGGACAATGGATCTGCATCATTGCAGCAGCCAAGGGAGGGCATGGCGACTTCAGCAAAGGCCTTGAGCCCATCAGAGGAGCCGACCAGGTAGCCAAGCAAATAAACGCAACCAAATATTTGCAAAGCTCCTAACGGCATCTCAGCATCATTGAGCTGCAGTGGCTGTGTGCTTCTACGCAGCATGCCGGTGGAGACTTGGGGATTCAAAACGCAAACTGGTTTGGTCTGCATACTTTTGGACTGCACCAGGATGGGGCGACTTCAGATCCCTCACCAGACGATTCGCTTCATGCGTCTCAAGACAGCCACTGAACAAGCAAGCGTTGGTTTTCCCAGTTGTTCCTTTCAACTTCCCAAGTAAAGGAAGCAAGCCTTAAGCACATCTCAGCACAGGCGCCAAATCAAACCATCAAAGCCATCCATCCACGGCATGTCACGGTCAATTCTTCATTGCGCCCCTCCAAACCGTTCTCCCGCCCTCGACCCTCATCGACCCTCATCAGCTGGATCCCCCGCTTCGAAGGCCTCGGCCTGGAGCATCCGTGGATTTTCGAGGTGCCCTTGGAAGCATTTGGAAGCATTTTTGAGATACCCTCTCCAGGGAATCCTATCTTGGAACGGTCTGGCGCTGTGATCGGCTGTTAGGTGCTGTAATTGGAAATGCCTTGCGACGCAATGTGGTGTTGGGTGCTGTTATCGGAATCCCAACCTCATTGTAAAAGCCTCTGACTCTGACTGAAATCATCGTTAATGGTTGCGACTTGGACTTGGAGGCAGGGCTGCTTTGTTCAACAAGTCGCATTGGTGTGGTTGCTTGTCTTCGTGCGTGTCCAAGAACGTTGATGGTAAGTCGGCGCGACACAGAACGTGATATGTCATCCCAAACCTGACTGGACTGGAACCAATGATGTATGGCGGTCACCAAGCTCTCACAGAAGTGGCCGCTCCACAAAAGGTTGATAAGGTTGAAATTGAGGAGGCAGGGTGCGCCTTGGAAAGATTTCAATGTGTGCTGTTACCTGCTTGGTTCGCACACCATTTGCCTGAGATGGAGGCTGCGCAGGGCGATGTGTTGTTCTTTTTGAGGGCGGTGAATGTTTATAGGCTTGACTTGATGGGTGGCTTCAACGTGGATACGCCAGGATGCTGCCCCCGAAGAGGAGGGCATTGTTTGGATTGGGTTGCGCGTGGGTAAGTTCAACACGGATGGGTAGCAAGATGATTGAGGCCCTTTGTAATGGACAAGCCAGAGGGCGGTAGGCTGCGCCGGCGGGGTCGGAAGCATACCTGTCTCCAATGCAGCTCACTCCTGCTACGCAGCAAAAGGACTTACGCATAGCAGTGCGACAGGTTCTTGTTGAACTTGGCAACACACGCTCTTTCGGTACCGGCATAAGCATTTTTGCAGTTCTGATGGCGCTGTCTGTGGGTTGCAGGACTATATAGTTCCCCAGATAGCAAGAGCCTTTGGGACTTCAAGTATAGGAAGAGGTGCCTGTGTGTGCTTTGGAGCATGAGTGCTGGTGCCGCTGCATGGTGCCAGGTCCAGATGTGTGCGGCCATGCACACGTCTATTGCTGCTGTGCGCGCTTTGGAGCCTGGCCGTTGCTGCCAGTTGTTGATGGTGGTGCGCTTTTGGAGGCTGGGCGCTGGTGCAGGGTGCCGCTGCTAGATGTGCTTTGGAACCTGGGTGCTGGTGCCACCTTCCGCTGCCAGATGTTTATGACCGTGTGCCGTTGCAGGGTGTTGCTGCAAGATGTGTATGGCTGTATCCGCTTTGGAGCCTGGGTGCTGGTGCCGCTGCAGATGCCCAGTGGCCGTGCGGGCTTTTGAGGTTGGTGCTGGTGCAGGGCAGGTATGTCACAAAGCACATACCTAACTGATCTGGGGTCTACGCCGACATTTTTTGGTGTTTTTTTGTTTTGCTGTAAACATCTGGGAAAGTTGACTGCTCAAGATCCCCGTGGCATAAGAGGAAACTTTGTTACAAGCAGGTTGGATTTCCTGGTATATCGCACTACTCGACAAAAGCCTGTTAGCAACAAACTTCAACACTGTGGTTGTGCTTTATGTTTTCGGAGCAGCAGAATCAGGACATATATAAGCGAAGGAGTGCACTCCCAGAACGTGTGCAGGCTGTGGTGGACCAGATCCGTGCTGGGATCGGCCAGGGCAGGCCCAGTTTGGCAGAATGGTTGACATTGAAAACACAGACTCACATGCAAACACACATTCACACATCTTCATACCTGCCATATATATATATATATTATTGTTCTTATTCCCCAATAGCCATGCTATGGGGTCTTGCAAAACTAATAGGCGGACGGGCGCCGTCGGGTCACCGTCAGAGCTGGTGGGCGGATGGTGTCCCGGTCATGTTTTGATGGCGTCCGGGTCATGTGATGCTGGTGTCCCGGTCATGTTTTGATGGTGTCCCGATCATGTTTTGATTGTGACCCAGTCATGTTGTGATGGTGTCCCGGTCCTGTTTTGATGGTGTCCCGGTCATGTTTTGATGGTGTCCCGGTCATGTTGTGATGGTGTCCCGGGCATGTTTTGATGGTGTCCCGGTCGTGTTGTGACGGTGTCCCGGTCATGTTTTGATGGTGTCCCGGTCATGTGATGGTGGCGCCGTCATGTTGTGATGGTGTCCCGATCATGTTTTGATTGTGTCCCAGTCATGTTGTGATGGTGTCCCGGTCGTGTTTTGATGGTGTCCCGGTCATGTTTTGATGGTGTCCCGGTCATGT